TGTGGCAGTGAGCATCAACTGACTTGTTCACACTACGGGGCCAAAAAAAAAAAAAGCAATGTAGATGTTCCCATTTGGGCTCGGAGACCCAGAAAAGGGGATGGCTCTCAGAGCCTGAGCAGGAACATCTACATTGCTATTTTTAGCCCCATAGCACAAGCCCGAGTCAGTTGACCCAGGCTCTAATACTCATTGCCGTGGGTTTGATTTTTTGTGCAGTGCAGATGTACCCTTAGATGTTTCATTCCCTTTAGCCCTTAGATTGGCTAGCTCCCAAGTGACTACCAGCAGTAAACTGGCTATTTAAGAATCACTGGGGGCTAATCTATGGAGATCAAGGAGTGTTTAATATGCCCCATATTTTTAAGACTCTTGTCCAATCCACTGCTAAAAACCCAACAATTGACCACTGGGACATGTAGGAAACAGTCTCTCACTGCTACTTGTTCTGCTTGCTGAAGTGAGACAAGCTGGCAGGGAGGGAATAGATAGAGCCAGACCTGAGAGGTGCATTAGGAGCAAGAAGAGGGAGCACTCTTCTAGGGAGAAGTTTTGAAGAAGCCATTAGGGACTAGTTGTACTCCGTTGACCCCAAGTTTTGTTGCCAATGTTTAGTGCAACATTTCGACAGCCATTTTGTGTGGTTCTTTAGACATTGGTGTCATGTCTGGACAGTCTGGCCCTACATCAGTATTTCATAGAGAAGATTGTTCACCTGCTCCAGATGCTGGTGAAGAAAGCTTCCCAACTAGCTTGAACAGACTCCATTCCAACAGCTCTGAAATGCATTTTCCAAATAGATTTACTGAAGATACTACCCTCGACTATTTAGAAATTTAAAGGCAGGTAAAAGAATTTACACACACACACACACACACACACACACACACACACACTCCCTTTTATGCACATCTGCTGCATTAGAGTAATGCTTTGCATGCTTAAAACATCTCCATATGAAACTATTATCCTTCAACTCTTCAATGCAATAAAGCCACTTCCTTTGAAAGCATTCAAACCATTAGGTACTCAAGGTGCCAGACACCAGGAGAATTGCAGCACTTAGGCAACCTGGGTATTTCACTCCTACACACCAATATGGTAACTTTATTACACTGGAGGATTTCCAAAGTTTGTCAACAAGAGCAGAATTCTGAAGTCCCTCCAAGGCCCCATAGCAGAGTAGACTGGGGATAAAAACAGCACCACTTTAAATATGGCAAATTTTCCACAATGCCTCTAGGTCACCGCAGTGCCCTGGATTAAGTTTCCCACAAGCGACTGAATCCTATTGAACATATAGGCACCGGTGCACCTTTGGTAAGGGGGGGCCTCTACAGCAGCCTGCCAGAAAGCCCAGTTCTGAAAGGTAGCGCATCAGCTTGAATACAAAAAACAAAGGGTTAAACAATTTCTGGATTAGTTTAAATCAGAATAAAAGCAATCCTTCTATCCCCACGCCTAAACCTGAACAGGCTGCATATTAAAATACCATAAACTCAGTGAAACCAAAAAATACAGAATCCAAACAAATTAACATGTAGGGCTTTCTGCTTTATCAGCTCAAGAGATAACTGTTCTCCATTCAGAGTTACCAGCTTGCTATCTTTCTCTAAAAGCATTCATACCATGAAGGATTCCCTGCATATTGGACTCTGAAAGGGGCACAACCATTAATCCTAAATGCCTCCAGTCCTTGCAGAGCACTGGGCTCTTTCATCTTCTGTTCTCAGTTCAGATTCCTCCCATACCACTGGCTGCTGCATCAAGCCTCCCCCACAGGCTAATCAAAAGGCGAGAAAGTCAAATAGGAATGTTGCTCTCCATTGCCCAGGAGGCTGGCTGGGACCAGAAACTTTACAACAGCCCCCCTCCCCCCCCCAATGTCAAACCCCAATGTCATCCCTACAATTTAGGGTTTCTGCCATTTGGTATCCTTGAAAAAGGAGACTGTTGCTTTAGAGTTACTTTGCTGCCAATACATACACTTTACAAGACACTGAAACCCACACTCAGAGCCCACTAAAACCTTGTTAAATAGATAGTGTGGTCACAGCCAGCTAGCCCATCAGTTGGGAATGATTTCCAAGCCCAGCAAGTGCACAAAGGAGGGTGGTTATAGGCCATGTTATTCTGGACTAGATAAAGAGGACCTGGAGCAATCAGCTAATTGGACAAGACTGCCACATTCATCATGTAGTTAGATTTGTTGTGGGAAAGGGGCAACAGCTGAGAGCTATTTGCCTGGGGGCAGGACTGTAACCCTCTTTTTTCCTCCACCTGTTACCTCTTCCCTTACAGCAGGCAAGGTAAACACTTAAGCAGAGCTCAAACCCTCCCTCCCTCCCCCCACCAGTGCCAAGAAAACAGACAGACTAATCCTTTAGCTTCTTGCAGTGAATCAACAATGCAAGTCTGGGATTTCTGGGTTTCAGACAGTTAACACTGCATCAAAGTTAGGAAGAAAGATGAGGAGAGATACTAGTGACCATTTGGCTACAAACCACCACGTGCAAGGGAACTTCACCTATCACTTCTAAGCCACAACTGTGTGGCTGTCCGCAGAACCAACTTGTGTAACTGGCAGAGATTCCATACAGGATGCTTGCTCTACATCCGTCAAGTGGTTTTGCTGTTAGTTATAATCAGAGGAAGCCTTGTCTTCCAGAGAATCCTGTTACAATAGCATCAAAGGAATTGCCTCCATTGTTGCACAGAAGTGAAGGTGCTTCCCACAAACTAGAAACTCTGCTAGGACAAGTCAGTAGCTTGTTTAAAGAAAACAGCTGTTGGCACTGTTGCTGACAAGGAGTAGGCAGGGAAGAGAAGGAAGCAATAGAGGAAGTGAACTGGAGATAAGAGGTTTATGGGCAGTCATGCTACCATGTAGTGAATAGAAGGCACATTTGTCCTGTCATTTGAGCAAGGAGTTTAGAAATTCCTTTGTTTAAAGAGGAAATGAGGTTCTTTAAAAGACAGGTTCCAGGCAGTGTTCTCTGGATGCAGAAGAGCAGTTTTAGAGTGACAGCTAGGAAAGGTATTAGTATTTCTCAGCAGGGAATCATGCTCTTTAACAAGAAGCACTGCCTTCCTACTCCTGGAAGTCATTGCCACCTGCTTCCACTACTCTATGACCTGCCTACACTCTTCCAGAAAGCAGCTTTTCCATTTCACCTTGAGTTATCTGTCATGCCAAGTCTCCTGTGGGACTGTACTCCAGCAGCCTTTGTTGGCATTTCTCCCTCCACTTTTAAGTTTTGTTGAGTCACTGATCTGGGCACAAGGAAAGCAGTTTCTTCCTGTTTCCTTTCCCTCCACGCTATTGTACTGTCATAGCTTCACTATGCTGGAGAGTTTCTGAGAGGCTGTTGGGGCGGGAAGAAATGGAGGTCATTAACTGTGTCAAGCTATATAAGTAAGGCCCTACCAAATTCACGGCCATGAAAAACGCATCATGGACCATGAAATCTGGTCTTTTGTGTACTTTTACCATATTCTATACAGAATTCACAGGGGGCAGACCAGCATTTCCCAACCCAAATGGGGGTCACAAGGTTATTGTGGGAGCAGGGAGGAGGATCATGGTATTTACTTCTGCACTGCCTACAGAGCTGGATGGCCGGAGACTAGCAACTGCTGGCCAGGCACTCAGCTCAGAAGGCAGTGCCCCTCCAGCAGCAGCGCAGAAGTAAGGGTGGCAATACCATATTATGCCATCCTTACTTCTGCACTGCTGCTGGAGGCGGAGCTGCCTTCAGAGTTGGGCTTCCAGCCAGCAGCCACCACTTTCCGGCTGCCCAGCTCTGAAGGCAGCGCTGCCTCCAGCAGCAGTGCAGAAGTAAGGGAGGCAATGCTGCTACCCCCCTACAACAACTTTACGACTCCCCCCACCCCCACAACTTGATTCTGGGTCAGGACCCCTACAGTTACACCACCATGAAATTTCAGATTTAAATATCTGGAATAACAAAATTTACAATTTTTTAAAATCCTATGATCATGAAATTGACCAAAATAGATGAGAATTTGGTAGGGCCCTATAGATAAGACCAGATAACTGGAAACTGACCAAACGGAATTTTCTTCCAAAACAGAAGGCAATATAAAGTTCTGCCCTTCTAGGGGAAGTGACAGAAATCCAGATTTTTAATAGTGAACAGTTGCTTACAAGATGGGGGAGTTTCAGCCTCAACCCTCCCATGCTGTCTTGTCCTAAAGTGTCACTATTTCAGACTGTCCACTATCTCCCTTAGGCACTCCTTTTAGCTTTTCTACGTCTGCATCCATAATCCAGATACCAAGACAGGAAGAGACAGAATAGTGCTAACTCTATATACATCTGGGCATTCCACAGGAATCCCCAACTGCAGGCTTTGATTCTCTAAAAGGAGATCACCTTACTGAGAGGTGGGATGCATACAGGATCTTCAGAGCTTTACATAAAAGATCCCCAAGTGACACCAAGAAATCCACTGGCAGTTTACCAGGAACCCATAAAACCACACCTGGTTTTGCATTAAATTCTTTATATCTGATGACACTATGTATGCATTCTGCTAAGTATATCCAGGAAACTATCCTGGTCAATGTATTTACTTTTAAATTTATGAAAAGCCAATACATTGTGTAGTACTAGCAAATAAGTATTTATCCTCCTTGACAAGATAGAACTTGATTGAGTTTTCATGCAATAAAAAACTGGTCTCGATGTACAGTCTTGATGTAGAGTTTCAGACCACTCTGCTCCAGGCACCAAAAACAGCTCTAGGTTTGTCCTCAGTGAATTTCAATGGTTTTATTATAAGCACGCACATACACACACCCAAGCATATCTCCCCCTCCTTAGAAGGGGGACAGGAAGTTACACTGCCTAGCGACTCCTCCACACATCCTCAGAGAGGTTTGCTGTCTTTTACAATAAGTCCTCCCACTAGGTCTTGAATATCATTTTGACTTCAAGATCTCACTAAGAAAGTCACTGTCCCATAGTTGGCACTCACCTTGCATCATACTCCTGTAGGCAGTGTCTGTGATTGCGTATATGTGAGGAGGCATCTCATGCCTCTTTTTGCCTTTGTACATCTCCACAATCTCCTCTGAGTATATGGGCAGGTTCTTGTAGGGATTTATAACCACACAGAAAAGGCCTGAGTAGGTCTGCAGAGAAAAGACATCAGTTAACAGTGGTTAAGAGTCAGACAGATCTTTGTTCTTTTAAGGGTTTCTTGCTTGAGAGGTTCTAGTGGGGCAGTGAAGAGAGACAGGAAGGCACAAATCAATACTAGAAACTGGGCAACAGCTAATACCAAGTTTATCATTATGGCACATAACCACCTTCAAGCTACCCTACTAGGTACTCCATGCTATCACGATGCTATTGTGCAGCAACTGATCTATACTGGCTAGCTCATTCCAGTTAACTGCAGGGCCCATCAAAACTAGTTTCCCCGGCTTTCAGAGATCTGAAGTTTAAACCAAGTTACACTTTACTGTAGAAAACAGATGTTCACCTCCCAGAAGCCTGGGACCACATTTTATTGTGCACTAGCTCATATTTGTAAAGCCTGCTTACTATAGTTGTCCAGAGTATAACTGAGACCCCCATGATAAGCTACACAAGGGAACAAGCATCCATAAGCTAATGTAGGGACAAGTAGTAATGTGTTGCATTAAGCACCATGGGCAGGGAGGCATGCATTTTTTCTTAATATATCACAGAACACCCGTTAACATGCATATATGGTCCCCCTGCTCAAATTCATCAGTTCTTAAGTAGAGCTATCCTTTGCCAAGAAGTGTGAAGTACAGGAGTCATGCTATCACAAACCGATGTCCAGCTGGAAAGAAGGCATACATTTTTAACATTGAGTAATTAACCATTGGGACAATTTACCCAGGGTCATGGTAGATTCTCCATTACTGACTATTTTAAATCAAGATCGGATATTTTTCTAAAAAGATCTGTTCTAGGAATTTTGGGAATGTTCTATGGCCTGTATTATACAAGATGTCAGACTAGACCATCACAATGGTCCTTTGTGGGTTTAGAATCTACGGCTACTGCTTGGTTAGGATCCTACAAAGTTGCTCATTTCCAGGAGAATTCCCTGTATGGGAGTAACCAAGGATTTATTTTCAGCAGTTTCCCCCTATTAAAGTTGCTGTAAAAAACTGACAGGCAGTACACTTCCCTAGGTAGGAGAAAGGGAAGGGGTAGGAGATCAGGAGAGGTCCTCCATACTAAATCCCTGAAGGAGTACCCAGTAAGCTATTCTTTGGATTATTTGATGGACAGCTGATACTTCCTCCTGACCCCTTCATTCAAAACAACGCTTTGATTCAGAGGTGAAGCCAAAGTTAGTTTGTGAGAGGAAATATTTTGAGGCACCACTGTAGTTCATTCACATACAAGACACAAACTTGGCTGGGGCTGCATTTAAAACAAGAAGGTCACAAGTCCAACGTAGCTTGGAATTGATCAACATGTAAAACTGTTTTGGAGTCTCCCATTTTAACAATAAAGGAATACTTGCCACCATCACTAGCATCCATCACACTAAACCCAAATTTTGGAATTTAGTTTCAACTGGCTTTAATCCTGCAGAGTTCTGAGGCAAGACAAATGTCCAGATACTTTTACTGCAATTTTAAGACACCTACCTGAGAAAGACAGGTGTCAAGACAAGAGGAAGACAGAAAGTATTACAGGTTTGTTAGTACCCAAGTCTCAGAATGCACTTTTTAATTGGAAAGTATTTTGGGCAGAAGGAAGAACGTATTCTTAGATATTCTAAGAATCCAAGCTTTGCTCCTGAGGTTTGTAGTCACTCAAAGAGCATATAGATTTTTATTGGCATGTGTTTGCTTCAGAAGGCCACCCTCTCATCCTATCTGAAATGCTACTAAAAGAATAGGGCATATCTGGCACATTCTACATCTTACACTTCCCCCACTTTCTCAAACAAAACTGTTTTGGTGTAGTAAAGAGTCCTCTACTCTAAGCACAGGGGGCATTTGATCAGATTTAGCCTCTTCAGCTGGATTAGGGTAAAGATTAGACTACTGGCAATTAGAAGAGTGGAGATAGCATCTGTTACATAGTTTATTGTCATAACCCTGATTTTCTGGATGTTGCTTTCACTTTGAATAATTAGCCCTACTTGTGTGTCTGATACTCAAGACAAAAGTTCAGGCATACGATTTTAATCCCACACGCCCTCAATGGGCATCCACATCCATTTTCACATGGCTATAATGGAAGTCTGTGCGCCAATTAGACACACACACCCCACCCCAAAAGAAAGTATGCCAACTAAGTTTTCCTGTGTGTACGGAGGAGGTTTCAGAATTAGTCTTGCATTGGAGGACACTAGACAACTTGAACACTATTTAAAGAATAGTTTCCAAAAGAGAAGACCCCAATATTATTGAAGCATCTGTCCACGATGGGATCCTACCAAAGGAGTTAGATAAATTTAGCAACCTGCTGGGTTAGTAGCTCAATGTTGAGAGGTATTTAAGTGAGGCCAAGAGAAAACTGACACAAATGAGCAGTCATTGCCATGCTTAGATAGGTTTACTGAATTTTAGTGAGCTGACTTAGCCAAGTGGGTTGCTCTGCCACAGTAATACCAGCAGATATTGGCCCTGATTCTCCGGGATGTCCAATATAGTGTTTGGACATAGAGCTGGCATGGCTCCCAGATGCAAGTGGAAGTTAACAGGCCCCATTCTGCTCTAATTTCCTTCAATGGTGTAAGGTCTGTTGCATACCTTACGCCAATGGTGGATCAGATGCAGTGAAGCTCTGTTCCACCACATCTGCCCACAGAATGCCCCAGACACACCCTTTCTTTTCCCCTATACCAGGTGTGGCTGATGCAGCAGGCAACCATGCTGTTAAGGGACAAGTTATAGTCTAACTGGAACTTGCACAATTGTTTTGCTGGAGTTCAAAGAGATGCTATACTGTAAACTATGCAGCTGCTTTTCTTGGGAATAACCATTGTTGGTTATAGCCACTATATGGATATTGTAAATAGAAACAGATTAGAAGAGAATATGCCTGTTGCGGGGAGGGGCCAGGGGTAAAGAAAAAAAAGTGAAGTGAATAAGTGGCAGCAAGTAATGCTGAAAGATTCAGCTATGGATTTAGAGTCTGCATTAGTACAGCTTCCTACAGAGGAGTGTAAGCTGGTGAAGTAGGACTGCCCATATTCCAAGCAAGAATAGCCTGGAGGTCTGAAGCTGGATGGAAGCAGTCTGCAGCACAGGAAGAGCAGCAGTTAGCAACAAAAAGAACATTAATGCTATCAGACCCATGAAGCCATGCAGCAAGGAGAAGGTTGTCATCTCCGCCCTCCATCACCACCACCAATTGGGAGAGGGCAGGGGGAAGAGAACACCTAAGGGCAGTCTCTTTTGCAGAGCAGTAATTCTCTAAGCCCATGAAAGCTTATGCTCAAATAAATTTGTTAGTCTCTAAGGTGCCACAAGTACTCCTGTTCTTTTTTCTAAGACAATAGTTAATTTTATCCTTTTAAGTATCTGAGGTTCATGGAAGAGATACTTATTACATGGCTCTACCAGTGCACGTCCCTCCTGATCTGCAGTCCCAACACAGGGATCTCACTCACTCTGCTACTCCACTCAGTCTGCCAGCCTTACCAAGGAGTGCAAAAGTCATCTTAGGCTCTTTGTATTGTCAATTTTGCCCCAGTCTAGGAACTGAACCCAAGTTTCCAGAGATTAAAGGCTAATGCACAAAGGTGAGACCTAACAAGTTGCCTCCACTGCAGCTGTGCTTTGCTTCAGATATCACTGCCCAATATTATAGTTCTGGAATTAAACCTCACTGGTGTTTTGGTTGATGCACAGGGCAGACTACAATCAGGTTTACTCTTTAGCAGTTACACTATCTCTGCAAGGCAGACAGGAGTAGACTGAGCATGTTTGACTCAGGAGACAAGAACAGCTTAGGCAGGAAAAAAAGGTTTTCCCAGGGTCTACCCTCTGCTGATGTGGTTGCTGGACTGGAATATTTGTAAGGTTTTGGATTTACTTTCTGCTCTGGACCCAGGACGCACACTTAAGGTGAGCAGTGGGGAAAACAAGTTACCAAGATGAGCTACAGAACATGCTTAGGACAGGAAGGGTTAAAGTCAAGCTCAGTTCAGAGACTGAAAGCAGATAATCACAACCATCAGCAAAGTCATCTAAACCAATCACCATTGTAGAAACAAATCTTTTCAGTTTGACACTGATTTGCTGTTTCCAAGTTCCTGAAATGTCTGCCACGCCCTGATCAAACATCTTAGGGTATAGAATGTTTTCACCTCTCTTAGCCAGAAGTCTGGGGGAGAGCAATCCGGGCGATAAAAAATAACCCCCCCGAATGAGGGATGGTAGCTTTATTGGCGATAAAACGCTGTCTATACTGGCGCTTTTCAGCACTAAAACTTTTGTCGCTTGGGGGGGGGGGGGAAGCTCCCACACCCCCGAACGACTAAAGTTTTAGCACTGAAAGTGGCAGTGTAGACAGCCTCAAAGTCCCCACTGTAAACTTAGTCTCAAGCTTTCCCACCCCCCTTCACAGGAAGGATAGGGGAAACACCCCCCCACAAACACACTTCTCAGAAACAGAGCCCCCACCCGCAGGAAGAGGCAGAAGCCAAGAACAAAGCTGTGTTGTATTTATGACCTTTCCAGAGATCTTTATGCCAGAGATAGTTTGTGCTTGCTCTCTTCCTGTCACGAAGATTAGTGCCCAGCTGCTGTCCAGTGGAAGGATTTTAGCCCTTCACCTTAATCACCTGACTCACTGGGGAGAGCTGCTGGCCAATCTGATCAGCTCACTTCACTAATGGGCAGACTCATGTTTTTGGATGGATTGGTAGGACCAAGTTTCTCTCTAGCATAATGCATTACTAGTTAGGTTTAAGAAGGAAATCTTACTTCCACAAATACCCTTTGTGAAACTGGTTATGTGACCATCTGTCTGATGCATCACTGAGGGGACATCTCAACACCTGTGAAATGGCAGCCTATTGCAAGGCAAGTAAAATATTTAAGTCACTTAAAATTGACTACCTACCACTAGTTTCAAGACTTGTTAATTCAATTTAGGAGGGAGATATTATCTAGGATACATACGATCCATTTACACTTTATTTTTAAATTTAATAGCTTTATTAGGAAGGGAAAATATACCCATTTCTCAACAGTACACGGCACAAGTACCGCTTTGATTCTGAGCTGCACGACTCAGAAGTCACAGCCTGGGGAGGTGGGGGCAGGTGTGGTTACACACAATACCAATCAGCTATTCAGCAACCTAGAATAACTAAATGTACTGAGCTCCAGCCAACACCTCATCATGCCCCCTGACATCAGACAGGGAGAAGGCTGGCATGGAGCTTCTACACCAGTTCTATACCTTGAAGAACCCCCACTCCAACAATGGTATTCTGTAGCAGCTGCCTATGTCCCCTGTGCCTCTGGAGTAGCATAAAGGTGGCCACAGCATCAGCCAGAAGTGGAGCCAAAGACTGTAGGTTAGGATTATATTACCTAGAACAGTGGTTTTCAGCCTCTACATTTGCTGATCCCTAAAAAAATTTCAAATGGAGGTGCGGACTCCTGTGGAAATCTGAGACAGTCTGTGGATGCCCAGGGGTCAGGACCACAGGTTGAAAACCACTGACCAAGAAGTTGGTAGTTCAAAGGACTTCTTACAGAGGTACATGGCGGGAGTGAACATATGCCATTTGTTGCCCTAGATTAGATTGCTTATCTCTGCTAATGGCTACAGAGATCATCTTTGTCTTGCCACAGAAGTGGTAAGGAAGAGGACTAGGCCTCTTTGGGTGATTAAGTAGCAGGTACGTGAGAGACACTATAGGAGACGTATTGTTAGAAACATGCTCTTGACATTTGGAGAGGTCAGACAAGGTACATGAGAGATTTGAATTTTACTGGTTGGTGTTCAGGGGAAAAAAAATCAGTCATCTAGATTTTCTTTAGAACTACAGTAACATTAGTGTCCTCAATAGATCATTGGGCAGCAGACATAACATACTAAAGAATCTACTTTACATTACCTAGAGACACTGAACATCAGGCCTTAATAGTAATATCTCCTGCTAATTCCAGTGCTGACCATTTTGCTGCTATTCTGTATTGTCAAATAAGGACTAGGACCAAACAAAACTGGAACAAGTTTCTCCAGATGTAAGCAACCAGTGCATTAAAAACCACCACATTACCACTGAACCTAGTTCATCCTATGCCCCTTGACAGCCTCTGCTTTAACAGTGACTTAAGGGATAGACTTTTGTGCACTGTTTGATGCAAGTCAAACAGGAACTACAGAACCAATGCGGATTCCAAATCCTTATCCTCTAGCACGCCCCCTTTGGGCACATGTAAGCATGTCAGCAAGCCTGGCTCTTATACCTTGTTCCTTGTGATTGTGCATGACTGTCATAATCATCTACAGAGATCACTGTCATTTCCATGGCAACAACCCAATAAAAGGTTGCTCTTGTAAATTTTGGTAGGTGGGAAGAGAATAGAACCTGCCAGTTCAGATAGCTATTTCTCATTTCATCCACAGAAAGAGACTCTTCTGGGGTACAGGATGTTTGTTACTGGAGAGGGCACATGTGCTAAAAACCTGAATCTCAGAGGGAGATTAGACAGCCAGCTTGGCATTAGCATTCCCTTCCACTGAGGTTCCAGATGTGGGAAAAGCAAGCCAGATGTTAGGTATATATCCCAAATGGGGTTTTGTTATTTAGTACTGTTTTAATCAGGCTTCCTGTTTACTGCTTTCCAAAGTCTTTTTTTCTAGCCAAAAGCAAGTTAATGATATTCAAAACATACTCCAAACAACGACACTCAAACGCCAACATCCAACCATTTCACCACAGCATTCCCTGAGGGATCCATTCTACCCAGGGGAGTTGTGGGGCTGAAGAAGCAGCAGTGTCACATAAGAGTTTCATATGGGGCAGTGTAAGGTTAACTATGCATGTTTCGGAAAAGTTGGTTGCAGCAAGTTTACATGGAATCCCCCAGTACAGAAGATTGTTACTTACATAGATGAGCCCTGAGTAGTATCTCTCCTTCAAGTTGTGCAGCACAGAGGCCTCATTCAGGCAGGTCAGCTCTGCCATATCTTCCACTTTAGAGAATTTGGGTGGATTCATCTTCTGGATGTCATCTTTGTTTATTCTCACTTTCTTTCCATTTTCTGCCAGCTCCACTATGGCCTCATCTCCCACTTCCTCCTTCAGACTGGCCGCTTCAAACCCATTCTTCTCCGATGGGACCCACACCAGTTTCTTGGCTGCCCAGTCAGCCTGAGCCAGGGGGTTGTTGATGAGGTTTTTGTCCACATAAAGGTACTTATCAACTTCTTTTTGAGCCATGGTGACTTATGAGTGACCTGAAAGAACAAAAAAAGAAGTCAAGTTTTTACAATTTAAGCAGCATTATGAACTCCTAGAGGCAAATAGACTCTACCCTGGCTTAGGTCCCTGGCTATCAGAGCCTCCCCCTTAAATTTGTTTCAGTAATCACAGGTGGCTTGCTAGAATTACATACAAGGTCAGGTTTCTCCTCCTAAAATGACAGGAAAAGAACAGACTTTTGAAACATTGAGTATTTAGCATTTGTAAAATATATATTTTCTATTCCCTAGCAAAAACAAGTTAAACTGAAATTAAGGTTGTAAACATGTTAGACAATTCGGAAGCACCAATCCCTATAGTAATTTACTGACAAACACCTAGATAACTACTTGTTCGCATTGCAGTTAAGACCAGATTTCTGTACTATCACCACCACTATCTAGGCCAGAGGTGGGCAAACTACGGCCCGTGGGACCCTCCTGCCCGGCCCCTGAGCTCCTGCCCCGGGAGGCTAGCCCCCGGCCCCTCCCCTGCTGTTCCCCCTTCCCCGCAGCCTCAGCTCACTGCACCACCGGCGCAATGCTCTGGGCAGTGGGGCTGTGAGCTCTTGCCTGGCAGCGCAGCTGCAGAGCCCGGCCTGACCTGGTGCTCTGGACGGCGCAGCTGCAGCGCTGCCAGCCACCGGTGCTCCAGGCAGCACGGTAAGGGGGCACGGGGGGGTTGGATAGAGGGCAAGGGAGTTCGGGGTGGTGGTCGGGGGCGGGGGTGTGGATAGGGGTTGGGGCGGTCAGAGGGCGGGGAACAGGGGGCAGTCAGGGAGAAGGGGTGGTTGGATGGGGCAGGGGTCCCGGGGGGCAGTCAGGAAGGAGAGGAGGAGGAGTTGGATGGGGCAGCAGGGGGCAGTCAGGTGACAGGGAGGAGTGGATGGGGCAGAGGTCCCGACAAGGAACGGGAGGGGGGGGTTGGATGGGGCAGAAGTCCCGGGGGGGGGGGGGGGGGGGCCGTCAGGGGGCAGGAGCCAGGCCACGCCTGGCTGTTTGGGGAGGCACCGCCTCCCCTAACTGACCCTCCATACAATTTCAGAAACCTGATGTGGCCCTCAGGCCAAAAAGTTTGCCCACCCCGAGGCTGTTGACAGAATTCACTACAAAACAGTTTTCACCAAGCCTTTTAGCTCTCTCCTCGCTCCCCCTCCATTTTGAAGTCTTTTTGGTATTTCCTGGTTCACTGAAAATGTGATATTTGATGTACTTCAGCATTTACGAATGTCATGGATTGCCTGGGTTGAGCTGGCAGTTACCCTTTATTCCTTGAAGATATCCCAAAGTGTCTCAAGATACATTTTAAGAAGAGAATTTAAAAGGCGGGTTAAGAATGCACTAAGTACTCCCCATAGCCAGATTATGGTAGAAACCCAACACAAATCTGGGCTTAACTCAGTTTATTTGTGCTCTGCAGGTCATCTTTACAGGAAAATACTGTTGAAGACGCTGGTTATCAGGGTACAGAACCCTTCTGGTTTAAGAAATATTGTGGTCACTATCTTGTTTAAAGATCATCATGTTTTTGTAGCAGTGACATAACTGAGGCCTAGTGATGGAGAGATCACTGACACTGCATCAGGGAGAACGTTGGGGATTTCTAGGAGTGTGTATAAAACAAAGTAATTTGGATTTAATCTTTCATCAAAACTATCAGAAATGCTTCCGCCAAGCGCTTTCTGGTTCCTAAAATGGGATTTATGAAAGGCACCATTTGGTTGGCGAATCAAGATTCTAGTGCGCTACATGCACCAGGGCTCATTAAACCAGAGAAAGCCAGACACTTCACAAAAACACCAAAAGCCTTACCCCTTAGAATCCGTGCTCCCCCACCTGTCAGTCACTTAACTCATTCTGATTTTGTGCAACTTTGTCAGAATTTTCAGTTAGCCAGAAAAGAGAAGAAAAAAGGAGAAGAGGCAGAATGGTCGGTGCATGCAATAGGAGGCCGTCAAATACTGTTACAACAGTTCCTCTTCAGGTATCTAAACAAATCCTGCAAAGCCACCTGGGCACAGCAGAGTTTCCCAAAGAAACAACAGGCATTAAGAGCTTCACTGCAGAAGCAATCTGGCCCCAACATGCATTGGGATCAACTTAAAGCCTAGCATCAGGCACATGCAACAGCAAGAGAAGTCTGGGAAAATGCCAACTATGGTATAGATGGGCGCCGAGGCCCAATCCAGCAATGTGCGTGCATGCAGGGAAATTCCTTCTAACAAATGGATAACTGTACTCTTGCTTTGTACTGAATGCTGTACTTGTTCCTGCTCTGCAAGTTTTGTAGCCATCAGTAAGGAACAAGTAGTCCACATATAGCAATATCACTTGGACTCAGATTTAAAATCTACATCTTAGACCAGGGGTCGGCAACCTTTCAGAAGTGGTGTGCCGAGTCTTCATTTATTCACTCTGATTTAAGGTTTCGTGTGCCAGTAATACATTTTAACGTTTTTAGAAGGTCTCTTTCTATAAGTCGATAATATATAACTAAACTACTGTTGTATGTAAAGTAAATAAGGTTGTTAAAATGTTTAAGAAGCTTCATTTAAAATTAAATTAAAATGCAGAGCCCCCTGGACCGTTGGCCAGGACCTGGGCAGTGAGAGTGCCACTGAAAATCAGCTCGCGTGCCGCCTTTGGCACGCATGCCATAGGTTGCCTACCCCTGTCTTAGACCATGAATGCAAGGAATTAAACAAGCTTGTTTTAAGAATACACTTGAGGCTAGAAGACTAAGTAGACACAAGCAGGGCCCTTGTGATTTGACGGTATTCTAGGCCTTATTTCTGCAGCAAGACAGGTACAACCTGCAGTAGGGGCACCAAGGAGACAACCCATTACACCCACTGTTGGCTAGATAGCAGCAGGAGCAAAGGTAGAGCAACAGTGTTTGTAATCCTACAGTGCTTAGTCAGCACACACCTGTAAATGAGGCCACCACTAAAATGAGAGCCAGCTGTCAGACCATTCTAGCACTACACCACACTCCAGGACATCTGGCCTGAGAGAATACACAGGAAGGGGAAAAGTAGTCCAGGATCTTGGAAGAATGGGTTGGTGATTCAGTATGAGATCTTGCAAATCTCAGGTGGCCTTGCATATCTACTACAGATTGTAGGCCAGCCAAAGGGTTAAAGAAAAAAGGAACTAAAACGTTCATTGTGTCCATGATCGTATCAGGTTTGGCAAGGCAACAGATGTATTCTAACCTCCATTACACAGCTTCCTGCAAATGCAACTCCCAAGAATTTAACCAGTTGCCTTTTTTGGCTATAATCAAGCAGGGCACCAGAGGCTGAGTGCTTCAGCTAAATTAGGATTCCTCAGGAAATGATTAAACTGAACACAACTACATTCTGAAGAGCTCTACATTCAGCCTAAAATACATATTCCTGACTTCCTTTCCACTCAGAGCATACATTTGCTACAGTCTGGAGATTCTTCTCCCTCACATTTTGAGGTAGAGATGAACACCTTTTGGCTAGGAAATGGGATCACAGGTCAAAAGATACCTCACCCAGGTATGGACCCTTTCACAATCAAAGAAGATGACAGCCACATTAAGGAGACTGGTCAAAACCCTTATTGGGTTTCTCCTCCTCCATCTCACACACAGTAAGACTGCACTCTTCAGCAGTGAGATGATTGGAGTGCACAATACCATTTGATAACTAGCCCTCCTAGCCCATGGCTTCAGCATCTATGGTACACTTCTGCCTCCATCAGTTATTCCAGGTTGTGCATTGTGCAGGAGGGGCATGTAGAAAAATTAGGCCTCCTGGGCTGGTGCTAACACTAGTGCCAGGACTAAGAAGAGGTTGTTTGCACCACTAATTCCTGGGCAACCCTTAGCACTGCCCTACCTTGTGCTTCCTACCACAACTATGGGGCTCACAGTAGGAGGGAATTGCCTAGACAGAGACTGCTCCAGTCACATCACCTACTGCCCCCAATCCAATCCTTCACTGCTCCAGCCTGTTTCTGACAAGCTCCACAGTACCTCCTGAACCTGGGACCTCTGTGGTGATGTCTACACTACCGCAGTGAGTCGACCTACACTACGTAGCTGGAGTCAATGTACCTTAGGTCAAGTTATCATGGGGTCTACACTGTGGGGGGGGTCAACAGGAGAAACTCTCCCATCAATTTACCTTACTCTCTCTCATCAGGGTAGAGTATAGGGGTAGGCTGGAGAGCAATCTGCTGTCAATTTGGTGAGTCTTCACTAGACCCGCTAAATCGACCGCTGGTGGATCGATCTCAGAGCGTCGATCCCGGTTGTAGTGTAGACAGCCTGTGATAATGCAGAGGTCCCCTGTGCCAGTGTTATTCCCTGGGAGCCTTGAGTTCCCAAATTCTATGCAGTGGTGAGGCTATAGGCCAAAAAAATTCATAGTTACCCAAGTGCCTGCAGAAGATCCTAGTTCAGGGAGGGATGCAATTATTGAAGCCAGCTATGTACAAGTACCCAATGAACTACAATACTAAGAAATCCTATACATGGATGAGTATGAAAGATGTGAAACTTTATATATTCATGAGCATGGCTATCACAACACTCTGCTGTGACTATAGGCTGATTTCCACGTGCTGAATCCTGTTTGCCAGAGAAGCTGATGTGGTAATTAGAGAGACAGCATCAACACAGGCAGTCATGCTTAAAAGCCAAACAATTAATGGGTGTGCTGAGCAGGTAATCATTCTTTCTGGGAAAGACACCAGCTACTAGTGTTGCTCTGCAAGTGGTTTGTTTGCTCAGTAGTTTGTTTTGGGTGTAGACATGATTGTGTGAGGCATGGACATTTTATATATACACACACATATTATATATACACACACACGTATATTGGGCGATAGTTCAGATGAGAAGATAATTGTGCTGTTTGTTGCAATACAGCCTATAGACAAAAAATGTAAAAAAAAGTGTCAAGATCAAAATCTCTAAAAAAAAAATGTTGGAGTTTAAAATCCTCCTTCCTGGTGTTGTTT